AACTTTTAGCTGCGACTTGGATGCACGGGGGCCTGTGATGCAGAAAAATATCGATAGGCCTGAGCCCGACCTATTGGGCCCGACCTTGGGCCTCCATATTGGGCCATTTTGTAACATAGGGTCGAGCTCGAGCTCGGGGCCTAACATAAAGTCGCGTCCTCAACCCTAATTAACGTACCCCCTCGACCTTAGCATACGCTTCCTAGGAATGTTAGTCCTATTTAGGTAAAAACTCCTACTTCATTACGAACTTTGCTTTAACTCCAATTGTGCAATCCCAACACAACACAAACACCTAAAACAACTAGACCTACAGGAAGTTCAGTCCTACCAGGATTCCCCCCCAACATCTATAAATACATAATCTAGCCTCATTATTCAGGTATGTGTTTTAGAGCATTCATCATAAGTTTCTCTTGAGCACTTAACTGACTTAAGTATCGGAGGGGCGACGAGGACACACCTCGACGCCTTTGTTTCAGGTATCAGAAGGCCTCTTTCGTGCTTGTTCTCAGTCGTCAAGCTCGGGATCAACGTGTACGATTTTTGGCATCATCAGGTGACAATCTGGAAGCTAAAATTTTAGTGATTACCTCAGTTTTAGAAGCACAGAAGTTGGCTCGAATGACTTCTTCTTGGAGGCTGAATGTGTGACAATTAGCACATATTATAGTGAAACTCTGGACTGGTAAGTGGTCGTGGTTTTTAAGTTGATGACGATGCTATTATCTGTGTTTGATTTCATTCGGTTTATTTGTTATTCTCACAAGAAGGAATTAAGGCTTATTGATATAAAATTATCAGCGTTGTTGCTTCATTGTTTCGTCATTCCACATAATCAAGAACTGAAAGAGTTCATTTCAACTGTGTTGCTCAATGCAGGATGGCACAATGGCATAAATGAAATCACTCTGGCAGAACACTAAAATATTGAATCTGCATTTGATGGTGTGAAGAAATTGTGGCACAATGATGATTGGACTGTTGCTGTTGCTGCTAATTTGGATGAATCTGTTAATTGATGATTGGGTTGGATTATTACTTAATTGCTTGGTGGCTTCTGTTTCATTGGGATTTAAGCGTGTTTAGTTAAAACATGTTTTTCACTTATTGCTTGGATTGCTTGAGATGTCGCCAAGTATCACCCCACTGAACGTCGGTGGCTTCTTTTGTACGCATCTAGGGTTTGAGTTTATGGATGAAAATTCATTCCCTCACTCGCTGTGCTCTCTTTGTCTTCTCCATTCCTTGCACTCTAAAAATTGAAAGCACATCTGATCTACTATATTTGTAGCCTCTTGTATAGGTCTTGAGTGATTTACTAAGGGTTATAGTTGTTATCCTTGTGTAGATTTTTGTTTTGATTAGTGAGGGCTTTCGATCTTAATGTAATCTTGGGTAATTTGTTTTTGAGTGCCTGTGTTGTATTCTGAACGGTTATTGGTTTTGGTTAATAAAGTAATTTCTTCCGGTTGGCGGAAGCTCAAAAATAGATTAGGAACTCCGGTTCTGAACCTCTTGTCTTGGGACGAAAACCACGTGTTCTTTACTGGCATTATTATTTCTATTTTTGTTGGTTAAAGTGGCCGATAATTTTGAACCTACTCGTTACAGATGGTATATAAATTTAAATTATAATTATTGGAAGTGGGTTTATAAATTTGTTTTTGAGTCAATTTTGATCAAATAATCAGGTGTGTCCCAAAAATTGATTGTTGTGAGTTTATAATCGAACGTGTTCTACGCTGTGAGTAGATGATCGTAGCAAATTTGATTTTGTAAAACCATTTACAAATAAATGAGAAATAGTGCCAAACGTATACAATACATATATATGAGACGTTGAAATTTTATATTGGAGTGAAAATGAACATTTGTTTCACATATCCAATTTTTTGTTTAACGCGTTCATATAACTCCAATTTTGGAACTTGGATTTGGGTACTGAAGGTAACACAAGTCTTTATTTAGGAGGAGTCGTAAATCCAATAGTTTGGTCCAAAGCCCATAAGCGTACATGCTAGGCCAGGTCCGTGAAATGTAGAATTGGGCTTGGCCCATTATATAGTTTTCTAATAAATAAAAAGGAAAATTAGGCCCTATACATTTTTTTTTGGGTACTTACAAAAATAC